GAAGCCTCATCACCAAAAATTGAACTGAGTTCATCCGTGCATTATTGTTGAAATAGTCCACGTCGAAAGTTGAGGAAAATAGTCGCGCGAAAATGCTCACGGTTCTACCCCATAACCTGGCCTCAACAAAATCTTATAACTTAGTGTAAACAAAACAAATCGCGCTCAAATTTCGCAACGTAACCTAAAAATAGTCAAACTTTACGATAGTGGTGTCAGTTGCTAGATTGCTACACTAGTCTTGCCAAATCTCAAAATATAAAAGGCAACCCTAGTAGACCAATAGCTACCAACAGCAGTAGCTACCAGTAACCTACCGACATTGCAAGCGCTTGTCCAACTTCTCGTAGTACATGTTCTTGTCTTGAGAAATAAGCCACACCTGTCCAATTTTTATGAACTCTATCGAAACATATAGTGAAATCGGTATGAGCACCTGCAAAGGTATCAGGCATGGGCTATGTCAACAATAGGCATGTGAAACATTGCAGAAATCAACCGAAATTTTCACAAATAAGCGGAAGTGGACCACTTGTGAGTGAAACAGCTACCTATGATACACTGATCAAGACTCGAACCGCTGTCAGTCCCCCTCCCTCACTCTCTGATACCTATAGAGATCGCCCAAAAGATGGAAAAGTTCTTTCCTGTCACCCCTTCTCTTTTCATTTATTTGATTATTCTACTATTCTATCATTCTATTTTTTTACTATTTATTCCTTTTTTAAAATCGGTCTAAATGGCACTAGGTGGGCAGAAAGCCACCAAAAATGAAAATCATAAAAGAAGAACAGTTTGTTCAGCTAAAGTCATACTATGAATATCGCAGCAAACCGCTGCTCAGGCTAATACCATCACCTGCCACCACAAAACCTTGAGTGGCTGCTGAAGGATTAGAAGTCGAATTGACCTAGTTGGGATTCAACTTGCACGCCGCACAAGGGATAGTGACCCCTACCGCCACTACACCCTTCCATCCCCTTATTATGTCTTCTCAATTGTTCTTTCCGGATGAACTCCGTCGATAAGTGATAGCGAACCTGCAGAACAATAATGAAGGACCAGAAATTCCAAAAACTCTCGAAGGAAGGACGAAACAACGTGCCACCAGGAATTTCGGACCATGTGAAAAATGGAATCATGTATGGGTTAGAGAAACTTCTCATCCATACGCCTGGAATTGGTTTTTCCAGTCACTACGTGGAAAGTATCTAATAGAATTAATCAACCTCGAGTTGCTATCGTACCTGATAGTACTGCTCCAGTAATACAGAGTGCCAGGAGAATCACAACACACCATATAATATCGATATTTGTCAAGCGTTCTAATGTACTTCTGAAAATAGGAAACTAAGTCATTCAAAAGGCTAAACGTGCAACTTGTTTGGGTGGCGACTGCGCGCGATAGGCGCGATTTTCGGGGAGAAGTACCCACTGATGGGGATAGGATATGCTAATTTCATAGTATCGTTGAAGGGCTTTCGATTTATGAGGATCTGGTTATTTATTTGTTTGTTACGCACTCAAAAAGGCGCTATCATTACCGTGACGGTATAATACAAGGTAGCAACCTGACATGTGAGTAATCGCTGGAACGACACTACCGAAAATGTTCCAGAAAAGGCTCATATAGGCTCCAGGAGGTAACTATAATTACTATCGTACTCCATATCGAAGTGAGTCTTCGCTCTTTCATGCACGACGCGACCGATTGAACAACCATAAATAGGTATTATAAAGTTCTATTCTAGGCTCGGGATGGGAGAAACGGGGTCAGCAGTGAGAAAACGACCACAGGTTCGGGAATGGATAGTGCTGATAGCCCCAATCCCCTCACTTCCCTTCTAGAAAACACGGTTCACTGGCCTATCACACCTTCTAAATATAGCAGAAGTATATTTACGATCCTTTCGCTTCCAAACACCAGTCAGTATTTACCCTCTTGAGAATGCGAAATCTTTGGTGCGATGATGTGTCTTCAGTCACATTCACACCTTGAGTGTGACCTTCCTTTTCAATCGAATCAGTGCAAAACACCACGACACACTCCAACACCGCTGTAGTTTATCCAGGAACACTTCAACTCAGTGTTGCTCTGAACCTTCTCTTCAGGCTATCCAAATTTAATTTTTCGTACAACACCGTGATAAGCTTATATGGGATTGATCAAGAACACTTGTTCAAAAGTTGGCCAATACCCGTTACTCATATTACAGCCTTGGGCGAAGTGGTGCATTGGCAAGCAGCAGATAATGACAAAGTCACGCCCTGCGGATCGAATTCTGGATACTCGGCCAGGTTAACCAAGGATTCTGGCTTCCTGGAGCCCATCAATCGGTACCGAATTCCTTCGGGAGGTTAAGAGGCTGTCTTTTACATCAGTTGTCCACTGCAAGTCATTGCTTGGATCACGGACGCATTCGAAACGCCTCTACAATTTTGAATGAAAGTCGAATGTGGGAGCGCATCCCAAAGACGACATTGACCAACGGTATGGTTATATGGAACATCAAGGGTAAATGTCCTAGGCATTGAAAGTTTGTTGTGTCCACGCTCATACTTTGGCCTTCAGGAAAGGGTGAGCTCATTACAAGCTCAATACATAGCGAGTTGAACCGATTTGCAGGTCCTATTGCGATTGCCTATAGAATTATTTCACAGACAGGGCAAAATCGTACAGCAACGAAACCATAACCCACCACAACTTGCTTTGGTACTGGAGGTGACAACCTTGTAATAGGATCAGAGAAAAAGGATAGCGGCAGCTTTCGCCACTAGGTGTACCGGTTGTAGCGCAATGCAGAAGATCAAAGTTAGGCATTACTTTGATTCAGGCTAGGCCTTCCAAGTTTCATCCAACTCAACTATTTTGAGTGGATAGGAGAGGGTACGAGCTTTGCCCAGGATTGATTATCTCCTACTTTTGGCTTATGTTGATTTGGGTTCAGTAGCCAAATTGAGGAATACACCATCCAGTAACTTTATTAATGTTCTACCATTCAGGAGCCTGGAAGGGCAAAAATGTAGGTACCCTNCTTCTCAAAGAAAAGTTTCAAAGTCTTCAAAACGTACCTCTTGTATCGGGGTCCATTATTATTCAACATGGCCTTAGTGTCACGACCTGAATTGTTAAGTAAGTATTGGATGTAAAACAGCTCTGGATCCTGCTATTTACTGCTCAGCAATAATTGTAGAAGCTAAAGTCAACACTGATTTCAAGTTGCATCCCCATTTATGCATAGGGCACCGCAAGCAGGGGTACCAAATCAGTAAGAACGGAAAAAGAGAATCTACCCGCATAAAGTACTATTCCTTCGACGAAATCAGTATTTTTCACAACACATCCACGAAGAAGAACGTTTTCTTTGGCCAAAATGGTGAACTCCCTCGGTAGAGGTGGACCTTAAGAACTGCTCTTCAAGCACGAATAAGTAAATGTGTACAGCAATGTACAAGAAGTGCGACGAACCGCCATCCATGGTTTCCAGCCGGCCTTCGAACTTGTACACGTCTGTTGTAGGCTCTTCACAACACACCTAATCAAGCATGAGAATAAATACCTCCCCATTTTGAGAAAACGAGGATTTACTGAGCGAATTACCTTGTACATGAACTGATCGGGAGAGAAGTTTAACGGTACTGTGGGGTTGTGAAACTTTCCCATAGCACGAATGGCTTGTCGTTGTTTCAGATTACTTTCACCATCCAAATTACAAGTGTCTACATAACAAATACCTAAAATCGTAAATATGACCAGATAGACTCTAAAGACACGTTAAGCAGAGTAACAATGAAGTGCTGATGATTCTAAGCGTTCCCTTGGGCAATTTTCATGTGCGCCCACTTATTTACATTGAGCTATTGAGTACGTATCTGGGCTGTATGACAGTTTTTGATATGCGTCAAGTTCATGCAAGTATTTTCATCCAATTGGGTCTAGGAACAAGTTGGAAGTTTCCGTTGTCCCTCGTCGTCTACTTTAGAAGAGCCTCTTGTAGTTTTTCAAAGTCCTTGAACTAAGCTCAGGCTATACTCCCTACTGAGACTATTTGACGAATACGAAAAAGGCTAGACGGCATGCCTGAGCTGCCCGACAAGGTGCTTTAATATTATCAAACAAAATTGAAGCCATAAGTCTTGAGATGGAAACTGCTTTAAATGGTTATTTTGGAGTTATAAACATAGTTCCCGCTGGCTATGTAAAAGTCGAAGGAGCTTCCAATGGCATGTAGACACACCTCGTAAAAGTGTAAGGGTTTCAGCACTATGCCCCGATAGCACTAGTGCGGGTTCGAGTTCCATCCGCGGTTGAAGTTTTCCCATGTTCGCCATTCTTGTGTGTCATCTCCTATGTTGGAGAAAGCCCTATTGAAAAACTGACAGTAAAAATATCCGCTAACTCAAACCGATCGAAACGTTGAAGCTGGCATTGAGGCCAGACCAGTTATCGGCATTTGGAAACTAGAACCATCATGTTTTTAGTGGAACTGTAGGTTTTGCTCTTCCCCAGTACAACAACGTAAAATAAGGACCGTTCTCATAACTCAAGTTGACAGGCAATTTTTCACAATTATAGGTAAAAAGTCTATTCCCATTCCATACGTCAAAGCAAAATTACTTTTCCACCAATTTGGTGGAACCTGGATGGGAAATCTGGTTGAACTGGATTTCTTCGGAATTAGGGGAGTTGCTGTGGTGGCAAGTGCAGCGTTTACTTCGCATGGGGCCGGACCCCGAACCGATACCCGCCCAGGTCGACCAAGCACCCCTCCACCAGCTAATTAGTACCAGACCACACCAATCTGGGAGGATGAAGGCACTGACTTGTACAACGGCTGGTCGCTGCAGTTTAATGCAGAGGCCCAAAACGCCTCTATGATTCCGAATAGAAGCTGAATTCGGGGCGCATCCCAACAAAGACCTGAGTCTTACCGTTGGCATCACTGCTCCTCAACAACAGCATATCGGCAGGAATGATCTCATCATGAGACAAATGCACGAAATCTCCTACTAGTATATGCTTCCATTCTAATTTACGATACCTGAAGGTAATAATTTTGTATAGAAGAGTTCCACCTCTCTAAGATTGACCCACCTTCCCTGACTGGAGTCCCAAACACGGCATGTGGAATGGTTGACTTTTTGATCAGATTTATACCGGCGATAATCCTGAATTGGATCATTGAGTATGGCAAAATATGTTGGGAGAATAACAACAAAATGCATATTTTACAGTAAAAATACTGGATACTGCAAAAATCCAAAAGAAACGGAAGAGTGGGAGTACTGACCTCGAATGCGTCTTTTATAGCTGTAACTCCGAGGACAAAAGAGATTGGCATTAGTGATATGTACTTCCCAAACGCTCCAATTATCATATTCAATACAACAATAAATATGAAATATAAATTTGCTGCACGATGTAACTGAAAAGAAGTATTAGTGAGATTTGAAGCCCTTCAAAGGAGTTTCTAGAAAAAAGCATTCAAAAATTGCCAACTGAGGCGCGTGTTTACTTCCTTTGCCTTTTGACTAGCCCCACTCCAAACTACCCAGCTTCTACCCTTCTTAGGAAGGTATATACTAGTATACACCACCGGAGAACCCTTCTAGACCGAGCCGGTCTCCGGAAAAGCTGTTCTTTCCCTCGCGATACCCCACCAGGACCAGGAGAGCATGATAGGATTTGCAGTACTGCTTGAGTATCAGCTTCAGAAATCAACAGCAAATGCAATTCGATCCTTTTTGCAGCTTTCCCACTCCCAAGTTTTCGTCTACTTTAACAGAATTCAAAAAATCTTCAACTACTATAGGACAAGGTGGAGGTGACGTAGTGCAAGTGGCACACTGTCTCACACGCATGGTCACGGGTTCGAATCCCGGCCGATTTCTGCTCCAGACAACCAGGCCTTGCTTCCCTCCGGGGTTGGTTAATTGGTATTGAACTTGTCTGGGAAGTTGAAAGCTCTGGCTCTTCGGCTTCGGCGACATCGGCTGGCCACCGCAAGTCATTGTATAGGCCACATACGCATTCATAAAGCCATTACGATTCTGAAGGGAAGTGGAATGCGGGGGTCTCCCTTTGGACAAGATTGATCAGCGCCTAATGATATCCTTTTATCCTTTATTATAGGACAAGACGTACCTGCTCTAATAAATTTTTAGGCAAGAATGTCAGTATACTGTATTTCGTAGTACTGATTCTATTATCGGCATATCGTCGATTCGGATGTTCGTACCTACAATTGTCAACTTCAATGAAAAAAAGTCAGGTAAGGTCTAAATAGTATTCTGGCTAACCTTGGTGGTGGTTCGGCTTGATTGTTCGGTGTAACAATCCGATAAGCCGGCAAAACTAGATCGTTGCCGAATAGCCATCGTGTCCATCGATGTCGCTTCAGAATCCGTCCACCCGTCTCCGCCTTCTCGCGGATTACTTGAGTTGGGCTCGAGAATATAGGCCTAAAAATGGACAGGATCGTTCATTCAAGAATTTCAAGTTGTCTATTCAACAGATGCCGAATATCTGCCCAGTGCATATTAAGAATGTAAGTTCAGAAAATCCTGTAACATCGATTTTACTGCTCGTTCGTTCACTTTTTCTCGAGGACAAGGAATTTCTTTAAAGTATGACTGGCGCAATAATATGCATTCTTCCTTTCATGAGTCATCTACAGTCCCATGAATGGCATTTTGCGATGCGCTACCTTCAGAGAAACGCCCAGGGAATGTGAATAGCAAATGCAGACTTAATTTAAAAGTGATCTTTTGGATGTAAAGGGGAGAAGAAAGTTGCCCAAAATGACACCCAACTCCGTCTTTCTTCTGATCATGTGGGAAGCCCAGGGTGGTTGGTGGGTAAGACAAATGGTGTTCATGGAGACAGTTGAACAAGGGAACTAAATGAGGATGGGGGAAGCCAGTGTAGGAAGATTACAGATGCGTTTTCATCCTCAACTACCGATAAACGATGACAGCTGAACTCAAATTAACGTCCTGATGTTTCGAAAACAGAAAAGTGCTTGCAGTTCAAATGTTTCGCCTATTTTTCATTTTCTTGATAACGTTTTTTTACAAAGATCATGTATATTGACTTTTCTCGAACATATACCAGGGAAAATCATGCAAAATGCTAGCATGAGACAGGAAATGAGGCATCAGAACTTTCCTGAAGAGCTTCGAGGGAAGCGTTTAGGGATATTGAGTGGAGTAAATATGAGCCCGGAGGTAATTAATAAACAATTGCGCTAATAGAAAACTAGCAAGGTTAAGACTATGATCAATCAGAAAAGGAATGACAAAAAAATACCACACACTAGTTTAAATCATTGCAAATAATCATTAATTCAACTTTGGAAATGTGCTCACCTTGACGGAGGTACCCATAATGATGAGGCACGTCGGTGATGGCCTTTTGAAGTGTCGACAGTGGCTTGTGAGGTGGACGCTTGCTGATCCGTGTATACCTTCATTTAACGGCCAATGCTCTTCGGTCTTTCTGCGAAAATCCACATCGACGCAGCTCAGGGAAATACTAAAGAAGCTAATTGCAGATTAAGGAGATGAAAATGGCGTCGTGTGCGAGAATGACGGAATAATCGCTAGCATATGGACAAGAACCAGTACTATTCATGGTACAAGTTAAATGGTTTAGGCTTAGTCCTCTTAGGCTTAGCCGCTGTGAGATTTGTTCTCAGAAAAAGAACAATGAGAAGTCAAACACTGCACTGATCAGACGTGCCGAATAATTAAAGAATTTGTCTTATGGGAAGGAAAGAATGCATGAAGGTGAAGGAAGGAGCCTGATCTGTCCCAGTCAGCATTCACTTCAGATCTAGGAAGCCGATTCTACTGGAATCCGAAGCAGTAGGTGGGATTAATAAAGTATACGGTTGGCGTTTCCCCGATTATGACTTATCAAGGTCGACCGGAAAGCCTCCAATTAAGACTTTTCTAATCGTAAGATGCTGGAACACACTTAGGATGAGATATTCAGGAAATACGAAAATAGACTAGTTTCCTGTGAAAACCCTGCTTAGCTCAAGTGTACCGAGAAGGTATCCTTAGCGTTAAGAGCTATTTTGAGTGAAATGGTTAATGAGGAAAAGTATATCAGCTTCTAGAAATTTTTATTTTAAATGCTATATTTAGTGCATGGCGATAAGAGCGTGGTTTCATCCAAGTTACAGGTCTTTTTTGCCTCAACTCTACACAAACCACAGACTTCATTATCAGAAGATGATCGAACTATGGGCGAAACGATCAGCTTTGGTCAAGGCGGTTGACTCGTACCAAGGACAGGGTTGGTCTTTTGTGAAGTGTGTGACACATATACATTAACTCGTGAGCTTTGAGGGCTCAAGAACAGCCTTAAACTTACTTAAAGGCAGAGCTCACGATGAAAATGGTTTCTGGATTTCTCTATAGGATGAATTTGACGTCCTCTCGTATACCATATCTGTCGCTAACAGGTCGGAAAACGGCCTAATCACGGAGTTATGAATGCTCAAGGATGGGCCCTTGTGTACCCTCGAACGAGTTTCACCGGCAATGTAGAGGCTGCATGGATCACAAGGGAACCCATATTGGAACTTCAAACAACTTTTCATGATAGCGACAATGAAAGGCCGTTCTGTACTGTTTTGGCCTGATGTAGTCAGCTTCTTGCGCAATAACAACGACTAACATCCCGTCCGAATACCAGTTCCATGTTATTTCCTTCATGGCAATCTCGTCCACCCCCCATATTCCCTACTTTTGCGGAGCCACCTTTTTCTCGAAATCGGCAATTTCTCTCGTTTTCTTCACTACCGATGAACTATTCCCAACCTATACTTCCGGTTTTCGAATAAAAACGGGTACCGCAACATTATCGTGAACAGTGCCTTTAAGGCTCATGACTACCTTATTGTATGAACTTTAGTAACGCAACAGTTTAGAAAGCTTCTTGTAAGTCGGTATGCCTTTCTCAATTCGATAATCAGGAATTGGTGGGCTAGTTGAAACAAACAAAAGGAGCAAGAAGACGCGAACTATTCCAAACTCCGTTGTAGACCGCGTGGGACGATAAAATCAGGAGAGATCAGGAGAAAGTACAGCGATGTAAAAGAGTCGAAGACTGAGAATTAAAAGAAACCCGGAACTATGTAGGAACGTAGAAGGCGGAATTCCGCCCGTAAATAATCAGTCTAGCGTGGGATTTCCGGTACTCATGGTGACATACATAGGTGATTAATGAGGCCATAGACGAATTAGAAGCCATCAGGTAGGAAACCGATGTGGGTATAACGTGGTGTTTCCTAAGTTCGTTTTCGAAATTAAAAAGTGTATTTGAATACATTCCATTTTTTAAATCGAATTCCAGAAGGTGAGAGAAACAAATGACATGCTTGCTTTCTATTAAAATTGGGTACAAACCAGGTCTACATAGTTGAAAGAGAACCAGTGGTTTAGAAATTCTGTGCAGTTTACTTTTATCAGTAAGGGAATCACAGACGTACATAATTACTTAACATACACACACTCATGAATAAAGGGTGAAGGTGGTGTGGTGGCAAGAGGCGCCCTATCACACATACACATGGTCACGGGTCGATATCTGCCTAGGCCAAATGAGCCTTCCATCCCTCCGGGGTCGTTTAATCGGTAGCGGAGTCGTCCGGGAGGATAAAAGCACTAACTTGTACATTGGCTGGCAATCGCATGTCATTGTGTAGGCGACGTACGCATTAACTACGCCACTACGATTCCGAATGGAAGACGAATGCAGGAGTGCATTTTTCAGACGGGATTGATCAAAGCCAGAAGACTTTGTCCTTTATCGCTCAGATACAAAGAATCCTACTGAGCGTATTGCTCTTTTCGAGTTCTCTAACCATGAAATTCAGCTTCTTTTTCTCTAGAAGCCGTGCCCGGTAAGAGTTGGACACCTGGCTCTGCCTGAATTCTATTTATTCGCTAATATGTAACGGGAAGGGCAGAGGTGGTGCAGTGGCAAGTGGCGCACTATATCACATGCGCGGTCAGGGGTTCGAGTCCCGGATCGATGCCCGCCTAGGCTAACCAAGCCTTCCATCCCTCCGGGGTCGGTGAATGTTGTCTGGGAGGATAAAAGCACTGAGTTGAACATCGGCTGGCCACCGCAAGTCATTGTATAGGCCACATACGCACTCATTACGCCACTACGATTCTGAATGGAAGTCGAGTGCGGGGGCGCATCCCTCAGACGGGATTGGTTAACGACAAAAACTTTATCCTTTATCCTTTTATATGTAACGGGTGCTTCCAAAATTTCTAAGAACTCAAAAAATAACAAGAGTAATAGAACGCATGAAAAATATGACCAAGGTAAACATTCATTACATGTACATTTATTGCACATTTTTATGAAACTCATGCTTCGGACCTACATAAAAGGAAAGAATTTTTTCAATGAGGCTATACTCGGAAGTTACTCGTGGACTTCATGGAAAGCTTTGTTTATCATGGTAGAAGAAACGGTGGTAGCACACATGGCCTATAGCCGTGTGGGGAAGCATAATTTGGGCTTTCAGTGAATAGTAACTTTCTCTACCGACCCTCCTTCTTTTTCAGTTCTTTCGAGACCCAGATAAGGCTACCCAGGCGATTTTTTCCAGTAAAGAAAACACCTTCTATTCCTGCGAAGTCTCAACAATGAGGAGTTAGACAGGTAGATCGATTCGAGCCCTACCCCCTGACTTACTGCCTACTTACCCAAAGTGGTCACACAAATGGTTACACATTCCGGTGCGGCACCCGATAGCGCCGAGTCTCCGAGAAGGAAGGACAAGCACAAAATGATGCCTCGATGTTCATAGCTTTCCTGACAGAAGCACATTAAAAACAAGGAATTTCATTATCAATTCGATAATTTCCGAACACATACTGGTGCTCGTTCGGCGAAAGGAAAAATCGAAAGCCAAAAAGCCATGAGCTGGAATGTTCTCAAAGAACGATGCTTATGAGATAAGATCTAATCTAATAATATCTAACGAGGTAAAAGATTGCTTTTGTGAGTACCAGTCAGGGACAGTTCTTCCAACCCAGGTAGGCTCCCAGTTTTTCCTCTCATTCCCATTCTACTTTGAGGAGCTTCTTAACACAGTCTTCTATTTTTTGACCTGAATCCGCTTCGGTTCGGATTCACAACACTGTTAGAAAGTTTCGAACATCATGAAACTCAAAATCAGCTCTGAACAGTATTCTCGGTCCAGATTTCATGATGTACATTTAACCAATTCGACTCCACCCTTACTGGGACCCAATTACTCCGATTTCAAGAGAGGGAAACTTAGCCGAAGATTTTGTGAGAAAATTCGTGAATAGAACAATGGGAACGGTTCAACGACACCCTCAAGACCACCCACCCTCGAAAACCGGCACTTTAGGCATTTTTGTCAAAGAATTTCAATTTTTATTCAAATTTGCCATTTCCAATGACGGACTTGAAGCGTGGAAGCTTTTAGCCGGAAGTGTGCGCCATTAAAGATCGTTCATTCCACTAGGGGAAAAAGCCCATTAGCTGGTAAAAACTTGCATTTCCGTCAAAATGTCCAGCTCCCATTAGTGCGAAGTGTATGTATAATCTGGAGGTATGCACTAAAACATGAACGCAGGTCATAAAATCCTTCAAAGGATGCATTCGTCTATCATTCAGAACTGGTGAAGTGTCTCGATTTTCACTTTGTGGCCGATGGGGGTTTAGGAGATCGGTCACGCACTAGGACTACTCCAAGCAAATCTTGATTTACAGTAAAGAGGTCCGGCGCAGTCTTTCGCATTCCTACTCTGTATCACCACTCCCTCAAATTTAACTGCAAGACAAGAAATAGCGATGAAATCGAGGTGCGACACAAAAACTTCCGTTCGATTACCAAAAACATTGATAAGGGCACAATCGGAAATCAGCCATTCATTACAGAAAATTCGGAAGGGAAGGTACGCCTCATGTATCGTGCGAGGAGGGCCCACTGAACCATGCTGGCTCGAGACAAAGACGAAGAAAGAGAAGATGGAGACGTAACTGGCGCCCGCTCGAGCAAATCAATGATCAAAGGGACGACATGTGATGCAGTCGATAGAAGGTTCGAAGGAGAGCGAAAGCTTTTCATGTAAAGCGAGGTGAAAAGGAGGATCGGGTAAGATCAAGAAGTGGTAAATGTAAGTCCCCCTACTTTGTGGTTAGGTCTGAGAAAACATATTCCTCGTCCCACACAGAGGCAATTCTCGACGGGTGGTAATGGCAGCATTGCACAATTTCACGGACGGTTTCACAACAAATTGCGCGCCAGGCTCTCAAACATCGGGCAAATGAGCATCGGCTGAAAAACACGTGGAGATCTTCGAACCGATGGATGACGACGATAAATCTTGAACAAATGAAAAACAGCCACGAACATTATCGAGGATTTGACGACACTTTTAGCTTAATATGAAGAAGTTACGATTACGA